GAAACATTTATCTTGACCACCCTATCGCACAGCACAGTGGAACGACTCTATTTGACCAAAAACTCAAAGACACTGCGCAGACGTTAAACCTTTATCAAATTATTCAACAGGCTACCCGAATCACGACAAACGTAAACAACCTTAGAGACCTTATATTTACTAACAACAGTGAAATAATTCAACAAAGCGGAATACTATCATCATTTGCAAACCTAGATCATTTTCCAACATTTGTAACACTTGACTTCGCACGACCGACATTAGACAACGACGATTCTGTTGTAACTATTTGGGACTACCAAAACATGGACATACCACTTTTAACTAGGACACTGACTGACACTGACTGGGAAAGCATCATGAACAAGGACATAAATACCGCAACATCAGAATTTATTACTTCTTTACACAACGCGGCGGCAGCAGCAATTCCAAAAATTAAACTGAAACGCAAGAAAAATGACAAATACTGGATAACATCAGAGCTGAAAAGAACCATACGTAAAAGGGATAGACTGTTTAAACTAGCAAAGGATACGCAAACTGAAAGTAACTGGACGAGATGGAGGTGTCAACGTAACTTAGTCACAGCAATAAACAGACGGTTAAAAAACGAGTACATGCAAAGAGAGGTGCAAAAGTTATTGAACGATAAACAAAACTTACACAAATATCATAAAACACTTGCCTCAATTACAGGGAGAAAACAAAATAATACAATTCCACCACTCCTCGGACGTGACGGCACAATACTAAACGACGAACAAGACAAGGCGACATTACTAAACGAACATTTTGCTCTACAATCCACACTTGACATACCAGACACACGACTTCCACCGACAACTACCGCAAACATGACTCCGATACCAGCCCTCGACAACATTACGACTGACGAACATGAAGTACTTCAAATACTTAACTCTCTAGACACCAACAAATCTACCGGACCAGACGGCCTTCCCGTAAAGTTCTTAAAACTAACAGCACTCCTAATTGCAAAACCACTGTCTCAACTATTTAACAAATCATTATCAATAGGCATTTATCCAGACGAGCTAAAAAGGCGAACATCAAACCAATTTTCAAAAATAAAGGGTCCCCTTCTGATCCAACTTGCTACCGGCCCATAAGCATATTATCGGCCATTTCTAAAATTTTCGAAAAAAATTGTATACAGGCAAATTTACGGACACATTACAGAACACGACCTTTTGACAGATAAACAAAGTGGCTACCGCAAAAAACATGGCACCGAACTTCAACTTCATTACTTAACACACAACCTATATAAGGCTTTAGATACCGGACAAGACTTCACGGCAATATACCTAGACATCTCGAAATATTTTGACAAGATCTGGCATAAAGGATTACTATATAAATGCGAAAATGAATTCGGAATTTCAGGAACACTTCTCCACTGGCTAAAATCTTACCTTAGTAACAGATTACAACGAGTACAAATTCGAAATTCCTTTTCTCAACAACGCAAAATTAACGCAGGATGCCCCCAGGGATCGGTACTTGGACCTCTTCTAGCACTAATTTATCTAAACGATCTATCAAAACGCACAAACAACGACATTTTATTATTTGCAGACGACACCTCTTTATATGCCTCCCACTCACCAGACACACTACAAAACACCCAAACGACCCTTACAAAGAGACTTAGACGAAATTTACAAATACGGACAAGACTGGGCCATTTCATTCAATTCAGCAAAAACTAGTCAACAAACATTCTCACTTATAAAGTCACACCAACAGCCGACACTTCATTTTGCTGACACTCCTATACCGAAAGATGAGACTCATAAACATCTTGGACTGACGTTTTCTCACGATCTCCGATTCCACGAACATGTAAACGAAATTATAAGCAAAATAAACAAAAATACCAGCCCATTATATTCAATTGCAAAATATCTTCCTCGACATATCCTAGAACAAATTTACAAAACGTACATTTTACCTATTTTTGACTATTGTGACACTGTGTACGACGGACATATCACTTTAAGAGACATTTCTAGACTGGAGACGTTACAAAACAGAATAGCGAGACTGACGACTGGGACCCTGTTTAGAACACCATCTGACAAACTACGCACCGAATTAGGATGGGACAAATTGACAACCAGAAGACAAACACATCGATTGACACTCTATCACAAATTAAGCAGACCTGATAACCACAGTACTCCAAATTATATCACAACTATCATCCCACGTACACGACAATATGACATAAACATGACACTTCGAAACGCTAGACACCATACTTTAGCTCGAACCCGGACAACAACACATCAACGCTCCTTCTTTACTCTCACAGGAAAACAATGGAATACACTGCCAGAGACCACAAAGCAATTGCCCCTCTCAGACTTCAACAAGTGGATCAAAAAACATTATTCGGCATCCAAACCACCCACATATTATTCACACGGAAGCAAAAATCTAAACATTCTTCACACCAGACTAAGGACTAACATGACACAGTTAAATTCTCATTTATACAAAATTCAAAAAACCGACTCTCCAGCTTGTCTGTGCGGTTTCCCTCAAGAAAGTACAGCACACTTTATCTGCTCATGCCCATTATACACACGACAAAGAGACGAAATGAACCAAAATATATCCCGAAGCCTACAATCCAACTTTACACTTCAACCTAAAACCATCCAACTGGAAATCCTCCTGCACGGCTCAGGCCTCGACGGTGTCGGCGGTCGGGCGGTGGCACGCCACTTCCAAAAATTTATACAAGATACTCACAGATTCTCATGCGTTTTCTAACTTCATCCAGGGACCTGGCCGGGCGCGGCCTCCTGGCGGGGCGTGCGGGGGCGGTGGCTGCGGGCGGTGGCCGGCGACGGGGCGGCGGTCAGGCGAACTTCTGACTGAGCGTATGTTCGAAGTATGAGAGATGATGAATGTGTTCAGGCGTGTACGTATGTATGTAAGTATGTTTGTATGTATGTGTATGCATGCATGTATGTGTATGTATGTAAGTATGCATGTATGTGTGTCTGCGCTTGTATTATACATATTTCCGGTGCACTGCATCACAAGAGTTGGCACCGAGATTTAAGCCCTTTGGCTTTTGTGCCTCCTCTTATTTCACTATATTATGCGTTTAATTTGTATTACCAATAAACAGTTGGAATGGAATGGAATGGAATGGGGTGTGTTGGTGTGTGAATGGCTTCCTGGCAGTCTTGATGGGGTTCCACTGACCATCTTTAGGATCCATCCAGCCCTGACGCCCAGCCCTGGCTTCCTCCATGCTCGCCTGTCGCCAGTGATTTCCTACAGTCCTAACCGAATGGAGACGGTCTCAACAGCCCTTTCTGTCCCCAATGTGCCCACCTGACCTTGGCCTTCGCCGTGTGTACTTACATACGTTTGACGACTGACGTGCGGCGTCCGTCCCACCGACGCGCCTGTCCGCCGATTGGCGATCCCCTTCGAACGACCGGGTTACGAAGCCACAGCGTTATAGGCGACGTGACCGCCAGATTAGGACGCCCCAGACGGCAGGAAGTCCAAACTCCGGGAGTGCTCGCCCGCCCCAAGGTCACCCCCTCCCCGCGCCGAGTTTGCACTGACGATGGACATCATCACCATCAACTTTCAGCTTCGTCGCGGCACGCAGCGAGTTTTAGAATTCTCCGACATCTACAAAGCCCCTGGTGAGGTGATTACGCTAAGCCAGGAAGACATCAGACGGCTCGTTGAAGTTCATTCAACTAGCCGAGTGTCTCAACACGAGCGCAATTTACTGCAGTCGCGCTGGTATGATGGATATGGGCTGGTCACAGCGGTGGCACGCTGAGGCACTTACATGGCTCTGCCCGCCTCCGTGTGCTCTCACCGCTCTCACCGTGTTCATGGTGAGACGATGGAGTAAGACAGTAAGACAGTAGAGCTCACCCGGGACTGGAGTTATACACTGATACCGGCATGTGCCGCGTTACAGGTACCGATGGCTCGCTTATATTGCTAGGACTGATCACTGATGCATGAAGAAGTACTGGCTGATGGCCGAGTGTCGTGCTGTGCTTTAGATGTCAGCGGATTGGGGTGATTGTGGACTGACTGGGGTGTCTGTGTGTGGGTACGCTGGCAGGATGTCGATGACTGAGGGATGAGGATTGTAGGACGTAGGTGGGTCTGCGGTGGGTCGTTACGTGTCGATGAGTGGGCGCCGTTGAGTCTGCATCACCGCTGGGATGTCTGTGGGTCGGTGAGGCGATCGGTGGTTAGGTTAGTGGGCATTGGTGCAGCCTGCAGGTGAGTCCGTGGCTTGGTGAGGTGTCGGTGGGTTATACCGCCCAGTGTGGGCTCTGGTTTGTCATGGGTGGGTGTGGAGGCGCCGGTGGGGTTCGCTGAGGTGTCGGTGAGTTGTGCCGCCTAGTAGGGGCTCTGGCCCCTGGTTAAACTGTCGGTGGGTATGGGGACGCCGGTAGGATGTCGGTGGGTTATATCGCCTAGTGTGGGCCCTGGCTAGCTGTGGGCGGGAGAAGGGATACCGCTGAGGTGTCGGTGGGTTATACCGCCCAGTGTGGGCTCTGGTTTGTCATGGGTGGGTGTGGAGGCGCCGGTGGGGTTCGCTGAGGTGTCTGTGGGTTATGTCGTCTAGTGTGGGCCCTGGTTAGCTGTGGGCGGGAGAAGGGATGCCGCTGAGGTGTCGGTGGGTTATACCGCCCAGTGTGGGCTCTGGCCAATCTGTGGGTGGATGTGGGGTTCGCTGAGGTGTCTGTGGGTTATCGCCCAGTGTGGGCTCTCATGGTGAGTCTGTGGGCGGGCCATCAGTCACCTCTCTCCCGACCGACCGCTGACCGATCGGTTGCGCCGCCGTCAAAGTCAGCCCACTTTATTAGCACGTAGATTAAAAGTGTGATGAACGGCGCCGTTATTAATACGGCACCGTCCCGTCCCGCGGGTCGGTGTCGCCGATCGTCCGCTCTCTCTCGGTCGGAGGTAGTCCGTCATCCGCGACCTCCGATATATGGAACGTCGCCTCCGGACGGCGAGACAATCTGCTGACAGACAGATGGACCCAGCCGGGCTGACGGAATAGACTGACTGGGACAGATGGGATAGGAAAGATGGACTGACAGACTGACGGAATGGACTGGCTGGGACGGACGGGATAGGACAGACGAACTGACGGAATGGACTGGCTGGGACAGACGGGGTAGGAAAGATGGACTGACGAAATGGACTGGCTGGGACAGACGGGATAGGACAGACGAACTGACGGAATGGACTGGCTGGAACAGACGGGATAGGACAGACGAACCGACGGAATGGACTGGCTGGAACAGACGAACTGACGGAATGGACTGGCTGGAACAGACGGGATAGGATAGACGGGCTGACGGAATCGACTGGCTGGGACAGACGGGATAGGACAGACGAACTGACGGAATGGACTGGCTGGAACAGACGGGATAGGATAGACGGACTGACGACATCGACTGGCTAGGACAGACGGGATAGGACAGACGAACTGACGGAATCGACTGGCTGGAACAGACGGGATAGGACAGACGAACTGACGGAATGGACTGATTGGGACGGACGGGATAGGACAGACGAACTGACGGCATGGACTGGCTGGAACAGACGGGATAGGATAGACGGACTGACGAAATCGACTGGCTAGGACAGACGGGATAGGACAGACGAACTGACGGAATCGACCGGCTGGAACAGACGGGATAGGACAGACGAACTGACGGAATGGACTGATTGGGACAGACGGGATAGGACAGACGAACTGACGGAATGGACTGGCTGGGACAGACGGGATAGGATAGACGGACTGACGGAATCGACTGCCTGGAACAGACGGGATAGGACAGACGAACTGACGGAATGGACTGGCTGGGACGGACGGGATAGGACAGACGAACTGACGGAATGGACTGGCTGGGACGGACGGGATAGGACAGACGAACTGACGGAATGGACTGGCTGGAACAGACGGGATAGGACAGACGAACTGACGGAATGGACTGGCTGGGACGGACGGGATAGGACAGACGAACTGACGGAATGGACTGGCTGGAACAGACGGGATAGGACAGACGAACTGACGGAATCGACTGGCTGGGACAGACGGGATAGGACAGACGAACTGACGGAATGGACTGGCTGGAACAGACGGGATAGGATAGACGGACTGACGGAATCGACTGGCTGGGACAGACGGGATAGGACAGACGAACTGACGGAATGGACTGGCTGGAACAGACGGGATAGGATAGACGGACTGACGAAATCGACTGGCTAGGACAGACGGGATAGGACAGACGAACTGACGGAATCGACTGGCTGGAACAGACGGGATAGGACAGACGAACTGACGGAATGGACTGATTGGGACGGACGGGATAGGACAGACGAACTGACGGAATGGACTGGCTGGAACAGACGGGATAGGATAGACGGACTGACGAAATCGACTGGCTAGGACAGACGGGATAGGACAGACGAACTGACGGAATCGACCGGCTGGAACAGACGGGATAGGACAGACGAACTGACGGAATGGACTGATTGGGACGGACGGGATAGGACAGACGAACTGACGGAATGGACTGGCTGGGACAGACGGGATAGGATAGACGGACTGACGGAATCGACTGGCTGGAACAGACGGGATAGGACAGACGAACTGACGGAATGGACTGGCTGGGACGGACGGGATAGGACAGACGAACTGACGGAATGGACTGGCTGGGACGGACGGGATAGGACAGACGAACTGACGGAATGGACTGGCTGGAACAGACGGGATAGGACAGACGAACTGACGGAATAGACTGGCGGGGACGGACGGGATAGGACAGACGAACTGACGGAATGGACTGGCTGGAACAGACGGGATAGGACAGACGAACTGACGGAATGGACTGGCTGGAACAGACGGGATAGGATAGACGGACTGGCTGGGACGGACGGGATAGGACAGACGAACTGACGGAATGGACTGGCTGGAACAGACGGGATAGGATAGACGGACGGGATAGGACAGACGAACTGACGGAATGGACTGGTTGGGACAGACGGGATAGGAAAGATGGACTGGCAGACTGACGGAATGGACTGGCTGGGACGGGATAGGATAGATGGAGAGATGGATGGAACCGGTCGAACGAACGGTTGACAGATGGGACAACGAAATGGACAGATTTTAACCACAAGGATGTATAAATTCGTTTTTATCCAATTTAGCTACATGTCCTGGACTCGAACACTGAACTTACACTCCCATCCCCTGAATGGTGCGTTTATTGTGATACCTTTACGCACGGAATGGCCGTAAATGTCGCGGGTGACGACTGCTGGCGTTGTCATTTGGTAATAGAGTGAATGCGAACATCTGCTTCGCTCTTCCTGTAATTTTACGGTACTTCGGTGCTCGCCTTCCTGTAATTTTAACGCATGATTTTGCAACTACGTTACGTAGCAGTAATGACGTTGTTAATGTTGTTTATATCATGAAGCTTTTTATGTCGTGTGCGCAATGTGAATGGTTCCAGTAATATAATGCAATAATGCATGACTGGTACGGCTAGTCTGCCGTGCCAAAATGACGTGTTCCGCTTCTCAAGTCACATGACCGGCGACTGGTTGTCTTACTTCCCGTATGAACCGATATCGAGCACGCTGACATGTACTCAGTCACGACAGTTTTGGGTTTTGTCTAAAGGTGTTAGCTAGTGGAGGACCAGATCAACCGCTAGACAGACAGACTAGAGGCTGAGCATGTATGCATTTTATCCTGTATAGCCGAGCCCGAGACACTGACAACAGTTATCCCGCCCCACGCGTCTGCTCCTAGATTTCCGTTCAGGGTCGCTCTCGTGGTTTGTGGTTGAGGGTCGTTTCCCTGAAGTCTGGCTCGTCCCGCTCACATTTGTTCACTTCTCATACAACACTCGATTATGAAAGGGGGTAATAAGTAGGTAATATAACCGGAGCGGACCCTCCCGCCGCGCAAAATTGGCCGGATATGCTCACTCGTTGTCAGCCGATGGGGCTTCATTATAGAGCATATCCAATTTCGTCCTTATTAATAAAGGGCTGCTGGCGGGCGCGCGCGCGGCCCATTGCGGTCCATTGCCACGCCTCCCGTCTCGGGTTTCTCGGCACGATGCGGCTTCCTGCTTTTCAAGTGCCATTGTTCTGTGGCCCGCCTCTGTTGGCAATTTAATTATTGTGGTTTGCAAGTGAGATGCTCTCGCCGACCCACCTGGGGCCCGCCGCGGCCGGGTTGGCGGCGCCAGTGTGGGGAGCTTGGTGCGGGCAGGGTCGCGTCGGCGCCTCTATTTTTGAGCGGCCCGTCGCCGTTTCCGCCGGTTCTGTCATCACTGCTCCTGGAGCAGTTTTTTGACTGGCGCTCACCCTTTCCTACCTACAATTCAGCCGCATTTTCTCCGTTTCTCTCTCATATTTCGTGATCTTTCAATTGGTGTGCGATTTTTGGCCGTTTTTGTAAGAGCAGTGAGCGACTGGGCGGCGCCGCCGGGTGGCCAGCGGGCAGACCGGGGCGGACCGGGAGCCCCCGCGGCGACTCCTCCGCCGGCCACCGGTGCCTCCAGCCCGTGTCGGCGGGGGCGGGGGCGGCGAGTCGCCTGTGCCGCCGGCCGGCTGACGACTGCGGACCGCCCACCGCTCCAATAAGCGCCGCCGCTACAATCAATGATTGTCTGGGCGTCCAGCGGCGCCGGCTGACCGCCGATCCTCGCCACTGAATAGGTGGGTGACCACAACAGGTCCGCGGGCGATTCATCACCGCCGTCCTCCGGTCTGTTCACCGGACTCATCACACGCGCACCGAGAGAGCGGCCGGCCGAGCCAAGCCGTCTGACCTGCGCCCAGCGGTCAGTTCGGCCAGTCGGTCGGTCTATTGGCTAGTACGCGTAATGCAGTGATGCATCATTGCATCATATACGTGACGCCCATCTCTCGGGCCACTTTGTCTCGAGTAAAGTGCTGCTACCTGAAATAAACGGCTTTCGTCACTTCCTGTGATTCTGTGTTTTCCCACTTTTGTCCGAAGAAAGCAGTTCGTAATGGAGCATCTGACTCTAGCACAGCCCATTCTGAATGTCCCTGGCTAATGAGTAGCTCGCACTAACAGACTCGAAACTTTGTCTTTGTGCTGGATTAGGTTAGTAGTTGAATGTCATTCACTGAAAACAAAATGACACAAAAAAAAACGACTAAAAACGCACATGCAGAGCGTGTTATCTAGGCTTTCTTGTGTACCCTGCATCATGCATTTTTTGACCCGTCGCAGACGTGTCAATTTACAAATGTGTTAACCCAGTCGTGTTGTGTCCTAAAAGACAATATCATTGTGTCTTCAACACATAAGGCTTGTGTGAATATATTTGCAGAATACAAGGTAAATGTGTTACTAAATTTAACACAAATCGCAAGTGAAAGAAGGAAACACGTGGTGATTATGTAGTTTGTTGCCGGGGCGCAGTTGAAGGGACTTTGGCTTTAGCCGGACAGGCTGACTGACTGCCAAAGCCGGGCCCCGAGTGGAATCGGGCGCTCGGGTGCGGTCAGAGCTGAGTACCCGGCCGGCCGACCCATAGGTCAGGGCGCGGTCATGGGGCTGAGCACGCGGGCGGCCGACCCATACGAGGCCGCCGACCCATACACGAGCTGGAGCTGCGCCGGTCGGCCACTTCAGAGCCGAAGGGTGAACGCGTCACGTGGACGGCTCAATTAGTGCACCAAATGACGATGCCCCAAATTGGAGGACTACTGTACAACACAGTTATCCA